CTGCTCCATGCCCCTCGGTTTACGAACACTCTAAATGGAGAAGCAGGCAGCAGAATGGCTCGTTTACTTGAGCCGCCAATATTTACCAAGAGGCATGCTCGTCCCTGAGGTCAGCGACGTGCTGGGCACACTTGAGTGAGACAGGCTGCACAGTGTGCCCTGCCTCTGTCCAGGCTAGGGAGGAGCCCTGTCATTACCAGAGGGTGGGGTGCGGGGAGGACAGGATAGATGGATTCCGTTTAGTGTGTGTGTGTGTGTGTGTGTGATACATACTGGGATGGAACCCAGAGAGTTCTGAGCTGAATCTCTAGCCTTTTAATTTTTTTCTTTTATTTTGACACAGGATCACACTAAGTTTTCCAAGCTGGCTTCTAACTGGAGATCCTCCTGCCTCAGCTTCTCCTGTAGCTGGGATGACAGGCGTCCACCACCATGTCCAGCTTTTCACCTTGAATCATCGCTAGAGGACTTCTAATACCCAATACAGTATAAAGGCTGTGGAGATCATCGTTAGCCTGCATTGCTCAGGGAATTAGGACAGGCAAAAGTCTGTGCTTGTTCGATACGGATGCAATGTTTTCAAATATTTTCTACCTGCAGCTGGCTAAACCTGTGCACACGGTACCCAAGCACGGGGTGGGTTGGCTGTACATGGCTCCCTGTGAGTCTCGGTGATTGAGGGGGGTAAAAAGCAGGAAATTAAGCAAGAGAGAAAGGTGTGAGAGGGCGCAGTGAGAAGGCAGGAAGGTTTTATTTTTCTCACATTGTGCCAAGTCAAAGTGATTTTCAGAAAACCCCAGAGGCACTCGACTTGGAGGGGAGGGGAAAGGGTCCCAGTGAACGGGCCAGCGCTGAGCCCTGTGGCTGAGGCTCTCCTGGTGTCTGAGGGGCAGCAGGGCCCAGAAACTCCGGGAGAGGGAGGGGTGCAGAGAAAGTCTGAGAAAAAGCAAATGGCGGGAAAGGGCTGAGAGCCAGACCTTGCAGGAGTTTGTAGCCTGTGGCGCAGGGCTGTGGGCCTTTCCAGGGGTGAGAAGGACACCCAGAGGGGAGGTTTGATGAGGAAGCTGAGGGGCCCTGCATGGTAAGCATTTGCCAGTCAGACCCGAGGGTTGGAGAGGAAGGGTGAGATTTCTGGGTGTTGGAAGGCAGCGGTGAACTCCCACATGCTGCTAGCTGTGTGCCGAATTCCAGGCTAACACCAGGGACAGGTCGGCGAGCCCCGGCAGGCGCAACAGGGCTCTGGAGAGGCCCCTTGAAGTCCTGTGTGCCCGGAGCGCCGGCCTGGGCTGCTGCCTCAGCCGCCTGGTTAATTAATTAATTGCATGGATCACAGTGCCCACCCCCGCAGCGGAAATCCGGAGCCGGTCTGGGGAGTGAGCGGCAGCAGCCAGGACGACCGTGGGCCTGGGGCTGATTTCTCTGCCTGCCTCCGGGCCTTCACCACTCTGCCCTCCCAGAGCGGGGGCCCGGTCCCCACTCCCGGGCCATGTTCTGGCTCTTGGGGCAGAATCGCTAGCACAGCTCTTCCTGGTGGGGCAGGTCCGGCCCACAGCCTGCGGGAGTTTGCACCTCAGTCCCTGGGGACTCCGGGGTGAGGCGCCCAGGGCTCGGCCTCAGCCTCTCTCACCTCCCTCCTTTGAACAACTTTACGGAGACATAACTTCCACGCCATGCGAGCCACCAATGCGTCCAGTTCAGCGCCGTCCAGCGTCCACAGGGTCGTGCGTCCGTCACCACAGCGTTGGAACCGTCTCATCGACCACAACACATGCGTGCCCCTGAATTGTTCTCGTCTTCTGTCTCCCCCGCCTCCATTCCTTCCCCCTCCCCTCCGTTCCCTCTCCCTCTCTTCTCCTTTTTAAGGTTCTGAAGTTTGAATCTAGGACCTTCACACTGAACTACACCTGCAGCCACAAATATTTTCTTATATTTTATTTTGAGATAGAGTTTCCAGCTCTGGCTGAGCTGGAACTTGCACTTGAGATCCTCCTGCCTCGGCCTCTCCAGGTGCTGGGATTGCAGGTGTGCACCACCACGCTAGGCTTCCATTCTCTCACTTTCCTTTCTCTCTTCTGGCCTGGGTCTCCTGGAATCTTGAGGCGAGAGGAGTTACCAGGTTCTCCCAAGAACCCTTCAGGACTTAGTGGTCTCAGACTGTAAACTCCCGACCAGGGCTGGAGTTCCAAGCTCAGGCTCTCTCCCTCCTGGTCGCCAAGGGTCCTAATGTCCAAGCTCTCCCCGCCTTTTTTACTAGAGGACCTGGGCTGGGTGGGAGACGAGCTCACTGGGTCTGGGTCTGCTCCCGCCCAGTCGGCTCCAACTGCTTGCAGAGGGCAGGTGTGAGGGCGGCATTACAGAGAACCGGCCGGGTGGCTTTCAAGTTCTTCCAGGCGTCTGCTCCTGACCAGCACATCGCAGAGCTATGATGTCTAATTTGTTGAGGCCAGGCCTCCTGCCTGGTTCCGCTTCCAACAGGACCAGACTTTCCTAGACCTATCGGCTACAATATCACTTCAAATCGCGGAAGAGAAAAGGCGGAAGGTTTTTGGTCCGCTAAGGCCGCTGTAGTAAGGGGGCGGAGCCCGGAAGGGTTCAGGATGGCGGCGCTGCACAGTGACAGCGAGGAGGACCTGGTCAGCTATGGGACGGGCCTGGAGCCTCTGGAAGAAGGTATGGTCGGCAGGGTCTATAGAAAACAGGATGAGAACCAAGATTCGGGGCGCAAACGTTCTTTTTGCAGCTTCTATCGACGCCCAGGGAGGCAAAGAAGCGTGGAGAGCAGGGACGTCCCCGCTAGGTCCAGCGCGGGGAGTGTACACCTGTGGCTGCCCAGCCTGGAGGACGCGAGAAGGGCCGTGGCGGAGCTGTGCAGAGAGAGCGGGCGCGGGCTCGGCAGAGAAAAACCAATGGAGATGAGCGAGTATGGGGCCCATGGGAGGCGCGCGTAGCCAATCAGAGAGAGGGATAGGAGTGCACGCGCCCGGAGCCAATGGGCAGGCGAGGGTCGGACTTTGGAAGGGATTGGCTTGAGGATCTGAGATTAGGTCTCTTTCCTCATATATATGTGAGGAAAATTCTTGGGAGGTATAGGAATTTTGATGGAAAGCAGGAGATGTGATGGAGTGGGGCAGGAAAGGCTTGAAAGAAATGAAAAGAAAGATCTGAGATGATCTTTAAGAGTACCCTGGGAGATGGCCTAGGGCAGCCGTGATAACTACTACAACTAACAGTTTCCCTAACATAGAACTGTTAGGGGCCTGGGTGAAGTGGTGGAGCACACCCGTAATTCCAGCACGGGGGCGGGGGGAGGCTGAGGCAGGAGGATTGCCACGAATTCGAGACCAGCCCGGGCTACAAGGTTCAAGGCCAGTCTAAACTACATAGCGAGGCCCTGTTTTTAAAAAACTAAAAACAAAATGTAACAGAAAAAGAAAACTTAGTTTATTGATACACTTCAAGAGACAGTGGGAAAGTTTCAAGAAAGACTGGAAAGATCAGGGCTAGAGGGTGGAGTTTTTATAAGGAATTGAAGAGATGGGAAAGAGTCTGAGATGTAGATTCTTTTTCCTTGTTAATATCCCAGGAACATCTGCATTTCTTCAGGTAAGGTTGTACATCAAAGTTCCAAATCAAAAAGAGTGATTACTCTCATCTCACAGAAGTGCCTTTAGTTTAGATAAGAATGTCTATGCACATTAACTCTTCAAGATGGATCAGGGCTCATTTGGAGGGCTGAAAAGGTCTTATATTTTATTTTGTGTTGTTTATAGGCAGCTTAGTTCAGTTACTTTGTAACTGCAGAGAGAGTTTTAGCCCTTTTGTCACCAGAAAGAGGATTTGGATAAAATCAAGGAATTAATCTAGAGTAATTGAGGAAATTGAGAGTTTAAGAATTTTGAGGGCCTGGGTGTGGTGATACGCACCTGTAATTCCAGTACTTGGAGGCTGAGGCAGGAGGATTGCTTCAAGTTCGAGGCCAGCCTGGGCTACATAGTTCATAGTGAGATACTCTTAAAAAAATATCATAGAAGCCAGGCATGGTGGCGCACCCCTTGTAATCCCAGCACTCAGGAGGCTGAGGCTGAAGGATCTCTGTGAGTTCGAGATCATCCTGGGCTACATACTGAGTTCCAGATCAGTCTCAACTACATAGTGAGACCCTGTCTCAAAAAACAAAAACAAAATCATACTTTGTATATAATAAGCATAATAATAGTAATAGCAGCTAGCACTTTTATTTACTCTTTGTTCCTCTTCTTGCTAAGAACTCTGTAGACATTACTTGATTTGCATAACTATGAAATAACTATTACCACTACTAATGTTAAACAGAGAGGCCAAGCTGACTGAAAGCTAGCACCAGTAAAGAGGCAGTTGGCTTTAATGTTCACAGCACTGGAGGCTCAAAAACAAGTCCTTAAATAACCGCTAAACCTATTTTCTAGTCTGAACCTTTGATAATAACTTGTTTTTAAACAAATTCAGAATTTTTAATTGGAGTTGATAAAATTAGGCAGTAGTTCAAGTCGTAGAACATGAAACTAAATCTGAGAGAGTTTTAGATTTGGCTAAAATGTATCAATTGCCTTTTGCTTATGTGATGTAACAACCTAACCCTTTTCAACAGAGTAGGACAAAGGAGTAAGTTTAAAAAACCTGAACTGTGGAATAAAGAGAGTCATAGAATTTAAGGAAACAAGCTTTAGGTAAATGAGCAATCCCCAAAGGAAGTATTCCAGAGACAGGGATGCTCTTCTAAGAGTTCTGGAAGAGGTATACAAGTGTTCTATTGTAAACCTCTGGATACCATGCATTCATTACTCCAGCATCTTGGCCCTTTCATTGCCAAGAAATTTCTTTTCCTTCTTTTTGTTGTTGTTTTTAAGATAGGGTCTCCCTGTGTAGTCTAGGCTGGTCTTAAACTCACTGTGTAGCTCAGACTAGCTTCTACCTCACAGCAATCCTCCTGCCTCTGCCTCCTGAGTGGTGGGATTATAGGTTTGCCCCATGACGCCCAGGTGTTTCATCTAGTTGAACTCTCCTCCCCCATATAATTTGGTTTTTGTAATGAAATTTAGGGAGAAAAGCAGTACATTTTTACTATAACATTTCTAACATTTGCATGATAAAATACTGGAAGTGGTACCCATGGTTCGTGAATGCTTTTGTTTGCAAACAATTTGGTTTGCAAACAGAAGTGTTTGGCAAAATTTTGTTTTTGTTTGCAAACTGCATTGGGAGACAAACATCACCACGGACACCTTTCCCACACAGATACAAATGTGGCCATCTTTTTTTTTTGGTACCAGGGATCGAACTTGGGACCTTGTACTTGCCAGGCAGTTGGAGGAACCACTAAGCTAAATCCCTGGCCCATGTGGCCATCTTTTTGAAAATCATTGAACAAATCAAGTTCATGATCCAAAGTACCAATGTATATTATTTTCTAGACCATATTAGTAAAATCTAGAAATAATTTAATTTGTTATATTTTAAGTAATAAGAAGCAAACAATTCATTATGTATAAGAAATGAAGTTTTCCTAATTCTTCCTAACTCACCACCCTTTCTCTCTTTTTCATTACAAAAAAAAAATTTTTTTTCAGGTGAAAGACCAAAGAAACCAATTCCTCTTCAGGATCAGACTGTCAGAGATGAGAAGGGAAGGTATAAACGATTTCATGGAGCTTTTAGTGGAGGTTTCTCTGCTGGATACTTCAATACTGTGGGCTCAAAAGAAGGTATGATTTTCCTACTTGTAGCTATCACATTGCTAAAGCAAATAATTGAAATATCTTAAGATTTCTTCCCTTCCTCCAACTTAAAAAAAAAAGTTCTTTAAGCATTTTAGCACATATATTGTAGTCCTTTGTGTTCTTTGAATGCTTATGTTTCCAGTTAACTTGGGTGTTGTTCATTGATTACAAACTGAAAGGGAAAGGATTTTTTTCCACTTTGTAGAAAATGGACACATTTGCTGGGCGTGGTGGCGCACACCTGTAATCCCAGCGCTTGGGAGGCTGAGGCGGGAGGATCGCTGTGAGTTCGAGGCCAGCCTGGGCTACATAGTGAGTTCCAGGGCAGTCTCAACTACATAGTGAGACCCTTTCTAAAATAAAACAAAACAAAACAAAAAATCCAAAAAAACAGAATGTATCTCTTGATAAGAACTTTTTTTTTTTAATATCAACTTCTTATGAGGAAACCTCACTAAGTCCACTGAGATCTGATAACAGGGGTGAGAGAAGTTAAGTTTATGTGGAGTAATTACATCCGTGGAAAAGTGAGATGGGCAATAGTTTCAGAGTCTGTAGTTACTGGCAGTTTCAAGTCCTTCAGTGTTTTTAATTATTTAGTTATAAGCCAAAATGCTATCAAGGGTTATAGAACTGTAAACTCTTCTTTCCAGGATGGACACCCTCTACCTTTGTGTCTTCACGACAGAACAGAGCAGACAAATCTGTTCTTGGTCCTGAAGATTTTATGGATGAAGAGGTAGGTGTGCAAAGCTCAAGTGCAGCACTCAGCGTGGTGGGACGTGCATGATTAGCTGTTGTGGCACCTAACCGCTCCCTGGAAAATCCACTGTGCAACTCACTTTTTCCTTCTAAGTCTCTACGTCTACAGTGCCATGTACATCGTGGACTCTTACATTGAAAGTGTCTTATGCTGGGGCCAGTTTCTAAAGGCAAGAGTGTAAGGGGAAAGTCACATGGCAGAGTACTTGAAAAGTCTCGATTTCCATGGTGCTTAGCCTGCCGCTTTCCACAGTAACTCGCATGCACACAGGGCTCTAAGGAGCAACTGGACTAAAATGAAATCTCTTTATTTTAAAACCTGGCCTGGATTCATCGTAAAGATTAAATAAAATACTTATACAACAGCATACGGTAGGCTGCACGGAGGGGGAAAGGTAGGCCTTTTTTCTTTTTGGAGTAGCATAATCTATTAGGGAACTGTGCCGGTCAGTTTTCCATCACAATAGCAAAATTCGTGACAGAAATCATCTTAAAGGAGGAAAGCTTTATTGTGGCTCATGGTTTCAGAGGTTTCGGTCCATGGTCAGCTGCTCCATTGCGCTAGGCCTGTAGTGAAGCAGGACATCATGGCAGGAAACACACGGGGTAAAGCAGAGTTGTTTACCACATAGCTGCCTGGAAACCAAGAAAGAGTGAGTGAGAGAGAAAGGGCCCAAAGACGGGATGCCCTTCACGGTCACACCCCCCAGTGACCTACTTCCTCCCAATAGGCTCTGCTCCCTAAAGCCTTACAACTTCGCTGTAGCCCAAACTGCAGCTCCATCAGTGGGTGAATCTACTCATGAAGTCAGAACCTTCATGATCCGTTCGCCTCCCAAAGTCAGTGCCTCTGAGCCCTGCTGTACTGAAGACCAAGCCGTCAACACATGAGCTTTTGGAGGACATTTGAGATCTGGATTAGTCAGCTTTTCTGTCTCTGGGCCACAATGCCTCATACCCAAAAATTAAAGAAGAGGTTTAATTTGACTCGCGGTTTTGAGGGATTCAGCCCACGGTCATCTGGTTCCAAGGCAGAAAGAGCATGGTAGAAGGACATCGTGGAGCAAAGCTATTCATCTCATGGCAGCCAGGAAACAAAAAGAGAAAGGAGGAGGTGGGGACAAGAATACCCTTCTAGGTCACACCGCTCAGTGACCTCCCCACAACAGGCCTCACTTCCTAACAGCACCTTCAGCTGCTGAACTCAGAATCCCTGGATGAGTCCAACATCCCACGATCCTATCACCTTCCACGCACATGAGACTTGTGGGAGACATTTTAGGTCTACCTGTAACAAGTTCCAAACTGTAATTGTCATAGATCACGTGTAGTGCAGCGAGGCCCTCGGTGCACTCTGGTCACCTCCTGCAGGTCAGCGCCTCCTTACATTGTCTCTCCTCGTGGTTGGAAGATGGCTGCAGAAGTTGCAGTTGACACATCCAGGACATTATCCATAGAAGGAATTGCTTCTTGGTGTCCTGTCCGAAGAGCAGAGAACCCTTTCACGTTGGTCCTACAGAGTATTTTCCCCCATGTCTGCTGGCACAAACTGTTTTCTATGCCTGTTCCTAGCGCAGTTTCTGGCAAGGGAAAAGGGACCAAGGTGACTGGCCTGGGTAGGATATGAGCCTCACTAACCCGTCCCGATACTGAGGTACCTGTCCTGAAGTGAAGGGTGACTCGGGAGAGAAGGAGGCACAGTGGCTGTTGGGCAGACACCCAGACCATCTGCCCAGGAAGGGCAGAGCTCCTTGTTCCAGGCTCAGCACATGGGAATTCACATGTGCTTGCTGCCTGTGAATCTAAGCTTTGTCCCTTTCACACTGACTTTTGATATTGTTGAGAAGAACTTGGCTTTACTTCCCTCCAGTGGTGGTGTGGTTTTTTTGAGACAGGGTCTCGCTTTGTAGTTGAGACTGACCTGGAACTCATTATGAAGCCCAGGCTGGTCTCGAACTCACAGTGATCCTCCTGCCTCAGCCTCCCGAGTGCTGGGATTACTGGCATGCGCCACGATACCCGGCTGCCAGTGGTGGTGGTGGTGTGGGTGGTGCTACTGAGCAGCCACTGTTAAGCCCTATCTTTTTTTTTTTCATTGAGTTTATTGGTACTTTTCAAGTATACAGTATAGTTACACTCATCATTGGGATCTTGTACCTTTACATGACATATCTTGGTTCTCATTTTTTCCCCATAACCTGCCCTCCTGTTACCCCTTCTACCCTCCCCTATTTACAAAGACTTTCTTTCCATTTTTTCCTTTTCCCCTATTTTTTCTCACAATGCCTCATACCCAAAAATTAAAGAAGAGGTTTAATTTGACTCGCGGTTTTGAGGGATTCAGCCCACGGTCATCTGGTTCCAAGGCAGAAAGAGCATGGTAGAAGGACATCGTGGAGCAAAGCTATTCATCTCATGGCAGCCAGGAAACAAAAAGAGAAAGGAGGAGGTGGGGACAAGAATACCCTTCTAGGTCACACCGCTCAGTGACCTCCCCACAACAGGCCTCACTTCCTAACAGCACCTTCAGCTGCTGAACTCAGAATCCCTGGATGAGTCCAACATCCCACGATCCTATCACCTTCCACGCACATGAGACTTGTGGGAGACATTTTAGGTCTACCTGTAACAAGTTCCAAACTGTAATTGTCATAGATCACGTGTAGTGCAGCGAGGCCCTCGGTGCACTCTGGTCACCTCCTGCAGGTCAGCGCCTCCTTACATTGTCTCTCCTCGTGGTTGGAAGATGGCTGCAGAAGTTGCAGTTGACACATCCAGGACATTATCCATAGAAGGAATTGCTTCTTGGTGTCCTGTCCGAAGAGCAGAGAACCCTTTCACGTTGGTCCTACAGAGTATTTTCCCCCATGTCTGCTGGCACAAACTGTTTTCTATGCCCGTTCCTAGCGCAGTTTCTGGCAAGGGAAAAGGGACCAAGGTGACTGGCCTGGGTGGGATATGAGCCTTACTAACCCGTCCCGATACTGAGGTACCTGTCCTGAAGTGAAGGGTGACTCGGGAGAGGAGGAGGCACAGTGGCTGTTGGGCAGACACCCAGAGCATCTGCCCAGGAAGGGCAGAGCTCCTTGTTCCAGGCTCAGCACATGGGAATTCACATGTGCTTGCTGCCTGTGAGTCTAAGCTTTGTCCCCTTCACACTGACTTTTGATATTGTTGAGAAGAACTTGGCTTTACTTCCCTCCAGTGGTGGTGTGGTTTTTTTGAGACAGGGTCTCGCTTTGTAGTTGAGACTGACCTGGAACTCATTATGAAGCCCAGGCTGGTCTCGAACTCACAGTGATCCTCCTGCCTCAGCCTCCCGAGTGCTGGGATTACTGGCATGCGCCACGATACCCGGCTGCCAGTGGTGGTGGTGGTGTGGGTGGTGCTACTGAGCAGCCACTGTTAAGCCCTATCTTTTTTTTTTTTCATTGAGTTTATTGGTACTTTTCAAGTATACAGTATAGTTACACTCATCATTGGGATCTTGTACCTTTACATGACATATCTTGGTTCTCATTTTTTCCCCATAACCTGCCCTCCTGTTACCCCTTCTACCCTCCCCTATTTACAAAGACTTTCTTTCCATTTTTTCCTTTTCCCCTATTTTTTCTTTCCCCTTCTTTCCTTTCCCCTACCCTTCCCACTTCCCCTAACCATTAGCCCTTTTCTTCCTATTTCACATTATTAGTTATTCAATTTGAATCTTACTTACACTTTTAGTTTTTCACACCAGAGAAATGATTTGGTATTTACCCGTGTGTGTCCTATTTATTTCAGTTAAGAGTATGGCCTCAATATGCATCCATTTTCCCATGAATGACTCTAGTGTCTCCTTTATTAAGCCCTGTCTTTGACCACTGGCCTTGCCTTATGTGAGGAGGATGAGGTATGCAAGTTAGAGTAGGAAGTGCGCCACTTTCCAGCTAAATTTTATAGTTGTGACTTTTTTCTTTTAAAGAAAAGTGAGCCAGGCATAGTGGCATATGCCTGTAACAGGAAGCTGAGATTGGAGGCTCTTGAGTTTGTAGCCAGCAGGAGTGATTTAGCAACTTAGCAAGACCATCTCTCAAAATACAAAATAAATGAACTGAAATGTAGCTTGGTGAAGAGACCCATGTTCCATCTCCAGGAAAAAATGAGAAAAATTAAAGCTATGTAATATATCATGTTGAATCATTTCCAAATAATGTAATTCTGTTTAAATTTCTTCTTCTTTCTTTTTTTGAAGGATCTTAGTGAATTTGGGATTGCACCTAAGGCTATTGTTACCACAGATGATTTTGCTTCCAAAACCAAGGATAGAATACGAGAAAAGGCCAGACAGTTGGCAGCTGCCACTGCCCCAATTCCTGGAGCCACTCTGCTCGATGACTTCATAACACCAGCCAAGTGAGAAGAACTTAGTCCTGATTGTTTGGTGATCACGTTAGGGATAGTTTGGTGGCAAGTAAGAGCAGCCTTGTTAGACTAGCACTCTAAGCATAAAGAGAGGCTTTGCTGACATGGTCTCGTATCCCTGCTGCGTGGAGTAACTCAGGAGCTCCGGCGCCTGGCTGTGCTGCTGGGGTTCTCGGAGGTGGAAGCGCCGTTAGGAACACGGTGGTTTCCTCTCCACCTCCCACACAGGCCTGATGGGCTTTCCTAGCCGCCTCGTTCTGCCCCATCTTTCTGTACACCGCCTCGTCCTCCTGGACACGTGGCCTGCTTGGGTAGCCTCAGACCTTCATGGTTTCCCCAGCCACATGCTTCTCGGGGCAGTCTAGAGTCCCCAGGATCCATTCCAAGGCCCAGGAGAGAGGGCATCTCATGTGTTCCCCTGGTCGGGTGCCCCTCATGCCCAGTCAGCTGTGGCCAGGATGGCAGGGCTGTGCCATTCTGATGTTAGTGAGGGACAAGCTCAGGCAGGACAAGCATAGGAGTGAATGGCGGGGACTTAGATGCCACCTGTTCCTTACTGCGGTTGGTAATGTTGTAAAAAGAAGTTCATTTTCAATATCTTGACATCCTAGATTATCCATTGGTTTTGAATTGCTAAGAAAAATGGGTTGGAAGGAGGGACAAGGAATTGGTCCTCGAACAAAGAGAAGGGCACAGCGACAAAAACCTGGTATGTCTGTTGACCGTCATTACTTCCATAGCATGCTTTTTAAAATGTTTTCTTTCTTCTTTAGCACAGTCTCACTATGTGGTTCAGGTTGACCTTGAACTTATTCTAAACTAGGCTGACCTTGAACTCAAGTTCATGTGCATCTTCCTGCCTCAGCCTCCCCAGTGCTGGGATTGATTATAGATGTGCACCATCATGCCCAGCTCTGAGGGTTTTTATGTATAATGCAGTGTAGCTCCCAGAAGGATTTTACTGGTCCACATTCCCATCAGCAGCGTGTGAAACTTCATGTTTCCTATCTGGCCATAACTCTATCACAGTTTAAATTTATCACTTTCTACTTTCTCCCTTGCCCTCGGCCTCAAAGCTGAGGGAACTCTGAGAACAGCCATCATGTCCTGTGGGTTCATCCTGGTGCTGGGGAAGTGGTGGTCACTCACTTCCTGTCAGTGTGCGTGGGGCAGGGCTGGTGGAAAAGTCCTCTAGTGCCGTATTTAGTGACTCACCTCTATACTAAAGCTGCATACTTTATAAGCACAGGCGTGTGCTTCTGCAGAGGGCCAGTGAGTTGGGGTTTTATTTTTAGTTACTCATGGCTAATGCCTTTGAAATTTCTGTTACAGATCCCGGAGTAAAAATCTATGGCTGTGCATTACCCCCTGGAGGCTCTGAAGGATCAGAGGTATTGGTTCAGTGGAACCTGTTTCTTTATGATCATGGGGTTTCAGGTTAGAAGCAATTTTAGAAATCATTCGGATCCCATTACTGCGAAACACCCATCCCCTAGAACTCCTCTCGTGTCAGATAATGTCAGGAACACCCCTGCACCTGAGATATATGAAGTCTGTCAGTTTTATTATTATTTGTGCAAGGGTGTGATTAGGTCATTTGTAACAGCATAAATGAAAGTTGGGTAATTTTTTAAAAAATTAATCACCGCATTTTAAAATAGTATTTTATGGGTTTACTTTTCGCGGTGCAGTGGCTCACCTTCTTGCTGTTTTAAACATTGGAAATAGGATGAAGATGACGACTACTTGCCAGATAACGTGACCTTTGCACCCAAAGACGTCACCCCCGTGGATTTCACACCTAAGACTAACACGCACGGACTGGAGTACAAGGGCCTGGATCCCCACCGAGCCCTGTTTGGAACTTCAGCCGAACATCTGAATCTTTTCAGTGGAGGATCCGAGGGAGCCAGCGATCTTCTTGGAGATGTTGGACTAAATAGAGGAAGAAAATTGGGAATTTCAGGCCAGGTAAAAAGCATTTCTGTATGTAAAGGTGGAACCACTGACAAAACAATATACTTTCTGTGTTCCGTCTGCCCGCCACATTTTCACTGAGTGAATGAAGACTTGAAGTGCTTAGGTTTTCCGGCATGTTTTCTGGAAGACTTGTGAAGCGCACCTTCCTGCTTTTAACAAAGGGCTCCTGAGAGCCTGTGCCCATCTTCTTGGTGGGTTTATGTGTTGTCAGGGGTGAGGATTGCTTTCTCACCTTTGTGGGCCAGGCAGAAAACTACTCCGCCCCCCTTTTTCTTTTTTTGAAACAAGGTCTCACTGTGTATTCTAGGTGACCTTGTACTTGATATGTAGCCCAGGCTGGCCTCAAACTCACAGTCCTTCTACCTCAGCCTCCAGAGTACTGGTTAAGGCCTGTGCATAAAACCACTCTTACCCTTTTGGTTAGTAATATATAATATATACATATATAT